TTTTGTGATAGCAAGGGGGCTCTTGGGATGGCCAGGAATGCTGTGCTTCATGGGCTGAACAAGCACATGCATACCAAGTGGCACTGGCTGCGAAAGGAGGTGAAAAGGGGGACGGTGAATCAAATCTTTATCAAGACTCACCAGCAGCCAGCAGATTTCCTCACCAAGAGGCTTGCGGATGAGCCTCATTGGCGTTGTGTGCGCATGAGTGGAATGAGCATGAACTAGCATGGAATCATGTGGAATGCAGCCGGCAGGCTGTATAGGAAACACATAAGGTGAAGGACCAGGCAGTGTAGAGGCTCGCTGTAACTGCGACGGTGACTGGACAGGCGGTGGACTCAGTAAAGGAGGAGTAGGACTAGTAGAAGGCAGGAGACCAAGAACCTGCTGAAGGAGCGGAACGTAGTACGGCCGCGGCCGTGCAGCTCCTCCAGAAACAGTAGAGACAGCACCAGTACCCTCAGCTCCAGGGTCTCCAGCTACAACTCCCACAGCACCACCAGCTCCAGTACCTCCAACAGCTCCAGCTCCAGCAGCATCTCCAGTAGTAACAGCTCCAGCACCTACAGCTCCAACTCCTGCAGCACCACCAGCCCCAGCAGCTCCAGTACCTCCAGTACGAGCACCTCCGGGACCAGCTGCTCCAGCACCTCCAGCAGCTCCAACACAAGCAGGACCTCCAACAGTGCCAGTACCTCCAGCACCAGCACCTCCAGGACCAGCGGCTCCAGCAGCTCCAGTACCAGCAGCACCTCCAACAGCTCCAGCTCCAGAAGCACCTCCAGCAGCAGGCCTAGTAGCGCCAGCAGCACGGCGATAGCGCCGAGTGTACCACTCACGAAGCTGCTGCGGAGAGAGGGGCTCCCGCCGTGATGGGACACCCGGAGGACCTCCAGACTCAGCACGCTCAGGCTCAGCACCCCCAGGCTCAGCACCCCCAGACTCAGCACCCCCAGGCTCAGCACCCCCAGGCTCCACACGCTCAGGCTCAGCACCCCCAGGCTCAGCAACCCCAGACTCAGCACCCCCAGGCTCAGCACCCCCAGGCTCCACACGCTCAGGCTCAGCACCCCCAGGCTCCGCACCCTCAGGCTCAGCACCCCTAGCAGCACCAGAGTCGACAGCTACCTCGACAGGCCGCGACTTGGGTGGCAGTAGGGCAGGGCCGCGACTTGGGCGGCAGTAGGGCAGGGTCGCGACAGGGCTGCTGCAGGGCAGGGACGCGACGGGCGGCGAAGGCAGGGCCGCGACTGGGGTGGCAGCAGGGCAGGGCGGTGACAGGGCGGCAAAGGCAGGGCCGCGACGAGCGGCGACAGGCCAGCGACGGGCGGCTACGGGCCGGGACGGGCCAGCGACGGGCGGCAAAAGGCAGGGCCGCGACAGGGCGGCTGTGGGGCAGGGCCGTAGTGGGCGGCGAAGGCAGGGCCGCGACGAGCGGCGACGGGCCGGGACGGGCCAGCACGGGCCAACGACGGGCGGCAAAGGCAGGGCCGCGACGGGCCAGCGAAGGCAGGGCCGCGACGGGCCGTACTAGGCCAGGGCGCGCGACGGCGCAGGTGAGGCAGGCGCGAGGCGCGCTGCGGGCAGGGCAGGAAAAAAAATCGTGGTGGGCCCTAAAAAAAAAAACGTTCCCACTAGGGAACCTGCTCAGAATACCATGTCAGAATAGTGAAGGAATGAATGACCCACTACAGCCTAAACAGACTATAGTATATAAGTTTGACACCCACGTGCCCGCGTATCGGATGGACGGATGCGTGACCTCCGTGTGATGATGCTCTGACATGGACAGCCTTCGCGTTTGCTCCAGCACTTCAGTCTCCGCCGCGCTCGCTTTTTCATTGTCCGTCTTAAGCAAAGTGGTGCCTGCCGCCATCACCTCCGTGAGGGGTTGTCCAGCGGCCTTGCCTCGCACGACGCTGCCTCCGCTCGGCAGGTCACTCATGCCCTGGCTCCGATTTGGCACGGTGAAGGGCTCCCTGGTTAGTGCGTTCCCTTGCGCCGAAGTTTGCGTTCCGCCTTCCGCTCCTCCGACTTCCCCGGCCCTCCATTTTGGAGTTGCCATCGGTGCACCTTCTACCGCGGTTTTATAAAGGTTGCCAGATCTTAGCTCCATCCGCACCTCGTCCCGGCGCAGCCCTAGCTATTTCTTCGTAGTTTGTCAAAAAACTCACTGATTCATGAGCTACTGACAACTTGGCTTCTGTCGAATGAACGCGTGTGTTTGGGTTAACAAGACTTATTATCAACATGCAGAAAACAAACAACGAAGTAGCGAGCTCTAGCCCTAGGTCAATCTTATGTACTGGATGATACTTGCCTAGCACAGAGCTTTAGTTGCCGAACAAGAAACAAACAATCACCCATCACACTGTAGTGAGGCTCAAGGGCGCCCGAGGCTATCTGCAAGTCGCCAGCGGTTTGTGCTTGCATGGGCATTTGCAAGGGTCTCGTGCCCAGCTGTCAAGGCACCAGCATCCTCGTTTGCTTTACTTGCCAGCTGACAGGTTGCTGCGCTTGTCCACGTTTGCAGATCCTGGCTTTTGCCTTGAAAGCACACATTCAGAGCAAGGAAAAGAAACATGCACGCCTCATACGCATTCTCACACCAAACCGACAAGCCACACTTATGTACAGTGCACACATTCATACCGCATTCCACACTTCGTTCGCAGCCCACTGCCTCCGTATCCCCCATTGTAGCTGATGACTCGCTTCGCCCTCGGCTCATGCCTGGTACAGCACCATCCTTCTACGCTACTCCCTTACAGCATATTTGTTGTCTTAGTACTATGCTGCCCTCCCACTTGGCTCATGCTGGTCAATATGATCCCGTGATAGCGACTTGCTCTCAGCTCCACCTTCGGATGAATCTGTTTAGCGGACTGGTCCGTATTCAGAGCTTGTGGGTTACCTCATGTACCTGATGCCGTGCACTCAGCCTGACCTCGCGTACCCCCTGAGCATCAGGGCGCGCTACGTTGCGCCCTGGAGACACCGCCCTAAGCACTGGCGGGCTGCTATGAGGGTGCTCCGCTACTTGGCCAGTACATCAGGCATGGGGCTTGTGCTTGGGGAACGGGGCTCAGTTGTGCTCACAGGGCACTCAGACGCTTCGTGTGCTGACGACCAAGCGACTTCCTGGTCTTCACAGGCTACACTTTCAGTCTCGACACTGGCACTGTCTCGTGGAGGTCCACTCGCTCATCTTCTGTGCTTGGCTCCAGCCATGAGGCCAAGATCTACGCTGGGGCTATGGCTGCGCAGGAGTTACGCTGGCTAACCTACATGCTCACGGACTTGGGTGAGCGGCCTCGTTCTCCTCCAGTTCTGTACGTCGACAACAAGGCCATGATAGCCTTGTGTCGGGAGCAGAGACTGGAGCAAAGAATGAAGCATATTGCACTTCGATACTTTCTTGTGCGAGAGTTACAGTAGCGTGTTCAGCTTCTCTTTCTTACGTGGCCTCTCAAGCCAGCACCGCTGATATTTTCACCAAAACCTTTGGGTCTGATGATCATCCGCGTTTCCGTACTACTCTTGGCCTTGTGCCTACTCTGCCTCACTTGCTCACCTCTTGAGCTTGTCTTGCACTTGCTGTATTCTGCTAAATATATTTATACCGGCATTTTTGCACTTGCTAGGTTGTGATAATTCTGTTGCTTTTGTTATTATAACACTGCATGTGAACTGGCCTTGTGGCATCTTGCTTGTGCTCGGAATGTGTGGTGATCTTGAGATCCACCATGAGTTTTGTTTTGCTTCTTCTCTTGAATGGTCTTGCGACCAGTTGTTGTTTTTGCTATCTCTCAGTTAGCCTACGGGGATGTGTCAAACTATATATTTATATTGTTAGGCTATATTGGAGTTAGCCATAGGGGGTACAGTTTTCTAGGGTTTGCCATATGTACTCCCCTTTTGCTAGTTCGTACTTCTTAAGAGAAAAGGGATGGATGAAGAAGGAAAGACGGGACGGAAGAGGGGGGACAGAGGGACGGGAGGGATTGGGGGATTGAAATGCGAGATGGGAAGGGAGAGGCGTCGAGTAGGGAAAGGTGGAAGCTGTGCGTAGGGCAGGGGGAAAACGGTGCTTAGGAAAGGTGGAAACTGCACGCAGGAAAGCGGGGAAACTGTGCCTAGGGAAGGGTTGAAGCCGCTTGTAGGGAAGGGGGGGGAACTGCGCGCAGGGGAGGGTTGAAGCTGCACGTAGGGAAGTGGGGAAGCTGCGGGTAGGGAAAGGGGGGAACTGCGCACAGGGAAACGGGGACGCAGCGCGGAGGGTAGAACAGTGTAGGGAAAGGGGAGAGGCGAAGAGGGAAGGAATGCGAGAGACCCAGAGGGACGAGAGGGGCCGAAGGAAAGAGAGCGACGGGTGCGACGTGGGTGACGGGAGGGACGGAAGCGACGGGAGGGACGGGAGAGATGGAAGGGACGGAAGGGACGGGAGCAACGGGAAGAGGGACGGGAGCCAATGGGATGAGGGACGAGAGGGACATGAGGAGCGGGAGTGACGGGAGGAGCAGGGGCGACGGGAGGAGCGGGAGCGAGGGGGGAGCGGGAGCGAGGGGGGAGATGGAGCTGGATACGAGAGCGACCGGAGGGATGCAAGCGACGTGTGTGACGGGAGGGAGGGGAGGCCAGGGTAAGACGGGGACGAAGGGAGGCTGCGTGATTGCTACCGCGGCGGATGGATCGCCGCGTACCGGGTCGAGTCTGTTGACTATTTCTTATACCATGGTTGTTGCGCGTGCGGTTCCAGTGACATGTATGGTGCTTGTGACGACTCTGATTTTTCAGCGTGCCCCAAAACCAATCTAGGGGCCTGGGTATGTACTGCGTACATAACACCTAGTGAAAGGAAGTTTTTTTACCCCTACTGCGGGGCATTTACTAGTACACCCTACTAGGGTTTCTTCTATGCATTAGGCAACTCTCATGCCACACCACTTGTGCAGGCAAGCGCGCCTATGCATGCAGTTGGAAGCACAAAGGATGCACTACTTCGTGCTGCCCAGCTGGGCGAGCCATGGCAGCAGCGCTTGCTGCACGGCGACCGGCTGGTCGTCGTGGGGGCAGTGGCCGCACAGGGGGAGTGTGACCATGGTGGTGAGGGGGCGGTGCTGCGGCAGGTGCGAGAAGAAGCGCCCCATGGGGCCATCGAGCGGCGTGAAAGGGTCCTGCTCGCCCCACAGCAGCAGCAGCGGTGCCTCCATGCGTGGCAGCAGGTGCTCCGGGCGCGGGCCAGGTGGGCCCGTGAGCACCGCTATAAACACCTGCAGCGCCCCGGGGTCCTCTGCTGGCGCACAAATGAGCTGCAGGGGCAGGGGGAGGCAGGGCGAGGGGTGCACAACGGTTAGGTAGCACACGCAGCACGAGTTGTGTCCCATGCCTAGGCAGATGAGATGAGAGGTGGGTGCCCGATGTGATGTGTGGATCGGTTGACACTCTCAACTTCCTGAGGAAGTACCAAAGCATGCATGTCCGCATCACCACCATTTTGATCATCACCTGCCATGGCACCACCATCATCATGGCTATCAATGTCAAATTCAGCATCAGCATCACCTGCACGAGCTCTGCATCACCTGCACGAGCTCTGCATCACCTGCACGAGCTCTGCATCACCTGCACGAGCTCTGCATCACCTGCACGAGCTCAGCATCACCTGCACGAGCTCAGCATCACCTGCACGAGCTCAGCATCACCTGCATGAGCTCAGCATCACCTGCACGAGCTCAGCATCACCTGCACGAGCTCAGCATCACCTGCACGAGCTCAGCATCACCTGCACGAGCTCGTCGTCGACGGCATCGGGGTTGCTGTACACCGCTCGCAGCACCGATGCCACGTTGTCCCTGCCCACGGGGAGAGAGGGAGGTGGGGGGAAGAGGAAGGTGGGGGAGGGGGGGGGGGGGTAGGGAGAAGAGAGCGAATGGGGACGGACTTGGGATGAGGGACAATACAAGGGGTGATCTGTGAGGGGGAGTGGATGGGAAGTGGAATGGATGGGCGGCTTGCAAAAGAAGATGGTAAATTGACAAAGCAGCAGAGGAAGGTTGACCTGATGCGGACGCGGTTGAAGATGGCAGTGGCTAAGGGAGAGAAGGAGAGAAGCCAGTCGATGAGGAGGAAGAGGGGCAGCGCGAGGCGGATGCGCCAGTCGTCCTGAATGGCCTTGTTGTTCAGCCCGCCCGCACAGTTCACCAGCACCCCCGCCACCTCCTCGCCCGGTAGCGCTGCACCCGGCACACAGGGCGGTGGGCGGTGAGGGGTGGTGAGGGGTGAGAGTGGTAAGGGCGTATCTTTGGTTCCGGTCATTAGCACTGTTCATGCTGTTGGTGCAACCCTACGGTTTGCACTCGGCTTGTTGTCCGTGTGCGTGAATGTGTGTGTGTATGGAATGGTATGAGGGCATGGGATAATATATATTTCATGCTTATAATTGTGTGTGAATGTTGAGTCATGATGTCGAGTGTGTGTGTCGAGTCAATAGCGAGTTATCGCTAGACGCGTGTTACGCGGTCGTTTGTGTCTCGCGCGCGGTTTCTATTTTGTCGTGCGCGGTTTCTATTTTGTCCTGTGTCGAACGTTCGGCGTGTCGCAGGTGTGTGCAGCAGACCCATCAAGAACTCAAGGATGAGTTTGTGATGAAGAGCCCGAGCCTTGGTGTCAAGCCTCAAGTGATTTCGAAGCTCGCCAAAAGGGTACACCTCAAGATATTGAAGATAGTTACATTACTTTGTGTAGTGTAACATTTCACTTGGTGTAGGCCCTAGTGAAGGGTAGTTTCGAGACCCTTCGTGGTTGGGGACAGTGTGGCACTGTTCCACATCACTGTACCTCGGCTCTTGGGGTTTGTAGGAGCTGGGAGTCATTCCCAACTCGTAACTCTTCCTATCTTGTGTTCTAAGAATATAGTGGCTGCCATAGTGCCGTTCGTTCAAACCGACGCTGTGTCGTCAATACTTGGTCGAATCGTGCGATCTTAATTGCCTATTGTAGGTGACATTAAGACGCGCCAGATCCAAGTTGAATCAGGTCATTTGAAGCCGTGACCAGAACGATATGAACGTTTGAAGCCGCTGTGCAGAAATCCGGCTGTGCACTCTATCTTTCGTTTTAGGCACATTGGAGCCTACTGTGACTATAACAAGTGGTATCAGAGCCCCTTGGAGCAGTTTCGACAATGTCTGGACCTGAGGAAGTTGGTGGGTGGGGGTTCAATCAAGTTGGTGGGTGGGGGTTCAATCAAGTTGGTGGGTGGGGGTTCAATCAAGTTGGTGGGTGGGGGTTCAATCAAGTTGGTGGGTGGGGGTTCAATCAAGTTGGTGGGTGGGGGTTCAATCAAGTTGGTGGGTGGGGGTTCAATCAAGTTGGTGGGTGGGGGTTCAATCAAGTTGGTGGGTGGGGGTTCAATCAAGTTGGTGGGTGGGGGCTAAGTTGGAAAAAACGCTTCTGTGATGTTGCGTTTTGCGTTTATACTCTTATCAAATTCGTACGCTGCGTATAATTTGTAAATTCGCCAAACAACATTTCGGGCAGACCGGGAAAAAAAAGTAAAAAAATCAATCTGGAGCTCGCGACGTGGCGATCTCAAATCCGAGTCGCAGATGTTGCGAAATGAACTCGAATTTTGAATTTCGGGCTCCAAACCTCATCAACCTCTCCCCTCCACCGTTTCACAACCCTTTTCACCCCAGCATTCCACAGTCCGCTACTGGTTGGGAGCCGAACCCCACTCAATCTCCCAGGCATAAGGAGATGCATTTGTTCTTTCGATATTCATTCTCTCGCTTACTATTCTAGCTACCTCACCCCCCAAGCCACCATGGCTGCTACTCCTACAGCAACATGTTCTCGTTCTGTTGTTGTAGTAGAATAGTTTTCTGTTTTTTTAGAAAGGGGATGGGGGTTACAGCACCCCCCCATCCCCACCTCTTACCCCAAAAAACTGCCCGGGAAAAACCTTTTTCCTGCCCGGGCAAGCGTATTCTTGTGCGTACCAGACCCCGCATGGCCTGCGTTTTGCGTATATACTCTGGCGTATATACAAAATCGTACAAAACGCAAAACGCGTTTTTTCCAACTTAGGGTGGGGGTTCAATCAAGTTGGTGGGTGGGGGTTCAGTCAAGTTGGTGGGTGGGGGTTCAGTCAAGTTGGTGGGTGGGGGTTCAGTCAAGTTGGTGGGTGGGGGTTCAGTCAAGTTGGTGGGTGGGGGTTCAATCAAGTTGGTGGGTGGGGGTTCAGTCAAGTTGGTGGGTGGGGGTTCAATCAAGTTGGTGGGTGGGGGTTCAGTCAAGTTGGTGGGTGGGGGTTCAGTCAAGTTGGTGGGTGGGGGTTCAATCAAGTTGGTGGGTGGGGGTTCAGTCAAGTTGGTGGGTGGGGGCGCTACTTGGTCAGACTCGCGAGCAAAATGTAGCACTGTGCACTTTGTTCCTTTCCCGTACGAGCGTTGCAGCAGTGTTCTCAGCTCCGCCTTTTCTTCAGTGGCCTCCAAGGCCGACACTTCTGCTCTCTTCATGCGTACACTTGCTAGGTTGTGATAATTGTACCTTTTTATTGTTATCACACTGCATGTGAACTGGTCCTGTGGCCGCTTGCTTGTGCTCGGATTGTGTGGTGATCTTGAGATCCACCCTGGGCGTTGTTTTGTTGGTTCTTTTGACTGATCTTGTGACCATTGCTTTCTCTGGCTATCCCCCACTTCGCCTATGGGGTGTGTCAAATTAATTGTTTACTGTTATTAAGGCTGTCGTGGGTTTAGCCTTAGGGGGTACAGTAATTTGCTCGACACTTCATTGTATCCCCTCCTTGCCCTAATTCATCTCATTCCTTCCTACCTATCTCAACAATCGGGACGAAATTTCCTGGAAATTTCGTCTCGATATACCCACCTCCGAGGTGGCAGCCAGTGCCAACACGTGAGCAAAGCACATAGCACCAGCTGCGATATCTAAATACACTCTATCTGTGGCAGTATCATGCAGGTTGAATTGTTGCCCGCTTAGGGTAACCGTTGAAGCGGGAAATTGAAACAATCCAAATCATGATTTCTTAGCGGATAGCAAAACGAATTGGCGAATTGGTGGGAGAGGATATCTCTGCGGAGATAACTGTATCAACGGGAGCTAGACTACGGGCTAGGCACGGGGTAGGAGGGATCTCTGCGTTCGTTCCCTTAGTCGTTCTCTAGCACTTGTGCATTCACGGGGAAAAAACCGCAAGTAGTTTCACTAGCAAAAGATGAGAACGGTGGGACTAGTGGTGGTTTGTTTGGACCTCGGCGTGGAGGCCCTGGTGGTGGTCGGGGCCAGCAGCAGCAGCGTTGGAGCGAGACCCAGTCGCCCCAGCAGCTCCGTGAGTGGTTGGTTCAGCGTGGGACGGGTGGGGGTAGTGAGGCCTGCCCGAATGTCATTCGCACGGGTGTCCGTGCAGGCGTCGATTTGAACGAACGGCACTATGGCAGCCACTATAGACTTAGACCACAAAATTAGGAAGAGTTACGAGTTGGGAATGACTCCCAGCTCCTACAAACCCCAAGAGCCGAAGTACAGTGATGTGGAACAGTGCCACACTGTCCCCAACCACGAAGGGTCTCGAAACTACCCTCCATAAGGGCCTACACCAAGAGAAATGTTACACTACACAAAGTAATGCAACTATTCTCACTATCTTAAAGTTTACCCTTTTTGGAGAGCTTCGAAATCACTTGATTCTTGAAACCAAGGCTCTGGTTCTTCAAGGTAAATTCTTCCTTGATTTCTTAGAAGTCTGCTGCGCACACCTGCGACACGCCGAACGTTCCACACACGACAAAATAGAAAACCGCACACGACATGCAAACGACGACGTGACACGCGACTAGCGATAACTCGCTATTGACTCGACACACACATTCAAAATCATGCCTCATCATTCACACACTATTGTAAGCATGAAATATATATTATTTCATGCCCTCATACCATTCCATGCACACACGCATGCACGCGCACGGACAACAAGCCGAATGCAAACCGTAGGGTTGCACCAACAAACTCCCCCTCGGATTGTTGGCCTTAGGATCTTGCTCTCTCAGTTCAGAGCCATCCCAGCCAGCTTGCAACACTTCCAATGCTGCTGCTCAACCAGCCTCTTGGTCATCACGTCAGCTGGCTGCCTTGTCGTCTTCACATAGTGCAACTCAACTTCACCCGCGGCCACCATGCTCCTCGTCCAATGCCACTTCACCCTCATGTGCTTGGTGAGGCCATGCAACACAGGGTTCTTAGCAAGAGCAATGGCACCCTGGCTGTCACAGTAGAGTGGGGTAGGTCCTTGCTGCTCCTCACCCAATTCAGCCAACAAACGCCGCTGCCACATAATCTCTCGTACGGCACGGAAGAGTGCCATATACTCGGACTCCACCGAGCTCAATGCTTGATCCACCTGCTTCTTGCTCTCCCAAGCAGTTGGGCCTCCACCAACACAGCAAATGAACCCTCCAACACTTGTCATGTCCTCTGGTTCTGATGCAAAAGAAGCATCCGAGAATGCAGTGAGGAACAAACGCCCGGGTTCAACACCATCCGCGCCCTTTTGGCGTCTTTGCGCCGCCGCCGAATATTGCAGCCCAACGGTCGGTGTTTGGCCAAGATACTTGGCCACCCTCATTCCAGCTGCTACCTGCTCCTCATTAGGGCATTGAACAACCCTAGCCAACTGTCCGGTAGCAAACGCGACGTCCGGTCGGGTGTTTACCGCCGCGTACATGAGGCTGCCCACCAACGAGTGAAAACGGCGCCTCTCCTCTTCACCAACGCTCTCCTCCTCTGGTCCATTCACACACTTGAACCCAGAGGGAAAGGGTGTAGCCACATGACCTTCACTCTGCCCAAAATTGGCAGCCAATGCCTCCAGGTACTTTCGTTGATGCACCCGCATGCACCGCTTCTCCACATCTCGTTCGATGTGGAGCCCAAGGTAGAAGCTCACGTCACCAAGGGCCTTGCACTTGAACTTGTCTTGAAGCTTCAGCATCACCTCCTTCACAAGGTCAGAAGAGGGTGAGAAAATGAAGATGTCATCCACATAAAACACCATGAAACTCCTCTGCTCCCCCTCGCCAAGCATGAACAAGGAATGATCGGCGGATGAAGGAGTGAAGCCCATCTCCTCCAAACTCCTCGCAGCTTCAAGTACCACTGCCTAGGGGCCTGCTTCAGTCCATAAAGGGCCTTCTTCAGCCTCATAACTCTGCCACTACCATCATCAAACCCCTCTGGCTGCGCCATAAAAATCTCTTCCTGAAGGACGCCGTTGAGGAATGCCGTTGTGA